GTTAAACCACGACAGTCCCTCAAGAGACAAAATTCACATGTAAATCAGCTTAGAAGGAGGGCATCACAGCAATGACAGCTGGGATCATAACAGCCCCAAACAGTAGGATGAATGCACCTTACCCCGGAATAGCTGGCTCTGTGTCTCCCACCTTGGAACCTGGCACAACTGGAGCTCAGGAGGATGAAGCAGGAAGGGAATGCCAGGCATAAAAGACTGCCCTGGGCATCCCATCTGAGGACACACGTTAAGCTAAGTCAGCACTGAATGTCGTATCTTTATTTATCTTGCCATAGAAGCAGCCCTGAAATGCTGATACTGAGTGCTTGTAAAGTGCTGAGCCCATGTGCCTTTAGGGGGATGGAAAGGGAGAAAATTACTGCACCCTCCGTGTTCTGCGACCTGCTGTCCTTCTGCACAGAGTTGCCAGGGTGCCTTGATCCAGAGGGGGTAGTGAGATTCAGTGAAGGCCATAAAGGAAAACGTAACTCTAATGTCCCCCAGGTCCCACCTCTGCCTTCTGATTGCATCCACACATTTGCCACACACCTCTCTCTTGCCTGCAGACACCAGCCAGCCAGTAAATGTGGAGGCAACGGTCACTAAGGCTTGAAAAGCACCCATGGCAGCTGCCTGCCAGTCCCACCCTCCACCTGATCTAGGGGCTCTCCCAGCCCCAAACCATTGAGATTTTGGCTGGCTTTGCCCAGTATGCATCCACAGCAGAGCCCCTGGGATGGGGTCGCTGAGCAGAAATCCAGGCCAAGTGCTTCCACAAAAGCTTTCCTGGATATCAAAACACAGAATTCCACCATTCTCACCTCGGGTTTCAGTGAAGGTGATCACAGTTCCTCAGAGCCGCAGCCAGGACTATGTTTATTTTAGCAAGTAGCTGTTACCCCTCCACCTGTATACTTCCCAGTGCTTAGTCCCCACACCCAGCCCTGCACTGCCTGCACACCGCTCCGCAAGCCCCATGGGAGCTGGGGAAGGTGGGGGACATGGAGCCATGTTCCCCACACCCTCACGCAGTAATGGAAACACGCTGGGCCTACAAAGCAGAACTGGCCTGAGCTACGAGACCATTGACCGAGGGTGCCCCCAGCGCCGCACTTCCACTTGGGCCTGGGCATTCCGCCTAGGAAGTCTCCCCTGACACTTGCCCTCACACACATTAACCTTCAGCCTCCCAGTTCGTCACCAGCCAGGCCAGCCTTCCAGCCTCTCTGCCGCAAGAGAGCTCAGGAAGGAGGCAACTGAGCAGCGGGCTGCCGCTGGGGAGCTCAGTCTTTGCCCAGCAGAGGCCAGCACAGGCGCAGTATGGTGGCAGGCACTGCTTGCCTCCACAGCTGCCTACACCTGGCCTTCCCCGGCTCCAAAAGTCTCTTAGCCCCCTGTGAGCCCTCATCCCTTTACTGCTTTGGGAGAGCTTTGCAGCGGGGGGGCTATGTCGTGCAGCAGAAAGGCGCTGACACCCTACTCGGGTAAGGAGAAGCTGCCACAGACCCAGCCATCACCCCATTTCTCCACTTGTGTGCCCAGAAGCACCCCCTTCCCTTGGAGCAACAGGCCAGCATGGTGTTCCTGGAAGTTGGGCATGCCCAGATAATACTCACACAACACTTTGGAAATGCCACATGCCAGGGAAATGAAGTTCAAAATGAATTGCATTGTGGGTAGGAGCAGACAATCAAAAGCAATCAGAGGTGATTGCCCTGGGCCTCACCCTGCCCTTTGCACCTCATTTGAGCTCATTAACAGTTCATTTGCATATAACAGTGAGGTCCACACCAGAGGACAGGCACTTGGCTACTTAGAAATCAAAACTAGCTGTGTGAGAAGTCTTGAGTGGAGGCCAAGAGCCTGGGGAAGAGAAGCAAGAGGCAGCATGGTACAGAAGCGATGTCCTTGCATAACCTGGACAAGCAGCTTGTGCAGCTCTGCAAACAGCCTCAGGAAAAGATCCCCTTTTTCTCAGCGATTGGTTGAAAAGGGCTGATGGCCCTGAAAGGGTCTGTTATCCCTTGTTGCTTGGGTGATAAGGACATTTTCCCAGGGGAACCCCTTTTTACACCCAAGAGAGACCACATCCCAGACATCTAACAATCACCAGAAGCAACCAAGAGGTCAAAACCTGCTTGAACCATGCAGGTCATCTTCTGTGATCAGGTTTTTGAGGGCAAAACTGGGCAAAGACAAGTCAGATTGGAAGATGCATCCCCTAGCACCAACACACACGCAACGTTTGCCCAAAATGGCTGAGCACAACGCTGCTCAGAAGGCTTCCAGCTCACAGCCAGCCATGCACCTTAACTGATGATGCCAAGACTATTGTTTAGGTTCTGGAGAGGATGTTGTTGCAAACCCGTCTCCCAGTCTCACCACTTACCACTTATTTTCGTTCTGAGTCGCAGTAATGAGTCTGAGACGTTACCAGTGAGTAGTCTAGCAATTCTGCGGGCATTACGCAGAACCCCACCCAGCCTGCAGGATCTCCGACAGCTCTGCAACAGAAATACTGGCTTCGTGTCTGCGTGGGCATAGGTGATACATATACATCGAGGCAGGACCTTCTCCCAGCTGCAGATAACACCAAGCTTAGCATTTTATAGCCATGAGAAAACACAGAGGTGATGGCAAGGACGGAGATTTCTTGTTATTGTAGGCAATACTGTGTTCTAAGTCAGTGAAAGCTTTGCTGGGGCTCTGTTGCATCCTGCAGTGAGGGGCATGAGCCTGAGGTGCCCTGCACAGCAAACCCCAAGCGAGGTAGCTGTAGCTTTTTTCTCCGAAACTGTGTCATCCAGGAACATCAGAGCCCTAAGGAATAGCAAGTGAAAAATTGGGGAGAAAACCCACCAGAAGCTGAAGGAGCAGAAGTGGAGCCTATAAAAACAAGCTCATCCAGAGCTGCAGCCAGTTGTCTCCCAAGTTTAAAGGGCCAAATCCCAGAGAAAAGCCGTTTGTGAGGGGCCTTTGTAGGCTGAGTGGCTCAAAGCATGGCCTGCGTGGGGAATCAGCAGCTCTGGTTGTTGTACCAATGGATGGAGTGAAGCCTACTGGTGTGAGATTGAGCAGAGGGGGGTAGTGTAAGACACTGAAATTGCTCCTGCTGCTTTTTTGTGAACGTGGTTAGAATATTTTTGCTGCCCGTAGATGTGTTAAAAGCCTGTGTCAGCAGCACTGATGCACCCCTATGCTGAAAAAATGGCAGCTGATGCTCCTTGGAGGTGGCAGCAGTCCTGAGCCAGCATTAGCAACAGAGCCTGCACTGGCACGTCGGCTTCAGGTTTGTGTATGGAGTGCCACTGATAGGGGGACTGCTGACTGGTGGGGTTGTGGACCAGCTTGTGTTTCCGCTAGATCAGACCCAGGAGAACTAATCTACTCTTCACTGACCTTTCAGGTTTCATCTGCTTCAATGCAGCGGCCTTTTGTGGAGCTGTGACTGGCAGGGAAGGGGAAACAGCGTAGGCTGCAGCTACGTGCCTTGTAGCAGGGTGCCTTGGAGCAAGGGTTCTGCTTCTCCTGTGTGCTCCAGCACAGCATCACCACCCCCCTCCATGCTGCCATGCTCCCTTCCGGCTACGCTGCTTGTCAAGCTGAAGGATCCACCAGCCCAAGACCCGCACGTGAGGTGACACGACCACACGTGTAAGGGGAGGACACGGAGGCCAAGGCAGTGGCAGCAGGAAGCGGAGGGGGCCAGCAGGGAAGAGACCTGTGATGCTGTGTGGCATGGCAGGCTCAGTCAGGTCCAGCCCTGCAGCAAGGAGAGACCCATCTCGCCCAGGGACCCCATCACCTCACAAACCATTGCTCCCCAGCCTGCCCAACCCATACACATGGGCCTCCCTCTTAAATGTGGGGCTCCAGCCACCGGCCCTGGCTTAGACACCAGCTCACAGTAGTGCTGTTCCCTGGACTCCAAGCTCTCCCCTCCTGCTGCCTGCATCCTCACTGTGTCATGACGTGCTTTAGGAGTGGCTCAGGTCCTGTTTTGGAAACAAGAGTTAAGCATTTTCAATCTTTATTTTACAAAAATAAACCATTTTTGGTATTCTGTGGCCCCCACCTCCCGTTCCTCTCCCCGGAGCTCCAGCTGTTGTGCACTCCAGCTGGCATAGAGGCTGCCAGTGCCACTCTCCTGCAATCATCCCAAAGCAAGTGCTGGGAAGGGGGTTGGAGCCCTTTTGCGAATGCCTCCTCTTCCCAGGATCCAAGTGGGAAACTGCCCAAAGATGCCTCCTGGTGGCTGTGCCATTTCTGCACAGGGAGCAAGTCTCCGGCAAGTCACTCAGAGTACACACTTTTGAGAAGGGGTGTCCCTCGGTTCATCCCTCTCCCTTGGATGGAAAAGCGAGCCCCACGAAGTTGCTTCTTGCCATCGGTGGAGCCAGCAGGCTGCCGTCCCACTGGCTGGCTCAATGCTGGAAGCGTGGGGAGCTGATGTGGGGCTGGTGGAAGGAGTGTGTGGCGTAAAGCACTTCTGGAGGTGGCGGGGGTGATGTCAGGATGGAGCAGAGCGGCTCGTGGGAGCTCAGCATGGAGGCAAAGTGCTTCATCTCCTCCGTCAGCTGCTTGATCTCCCGGCGCAGGGCAGCGTTCTGCCTCTCCAGGTCTTCGCTCTCCTGAGGAGACAAAACCACAGGGTTTTCCTCAGCGTGGGAGCTACAGGGACAAGCTGAGGACACTCGGGTCACCATCCCATACCTCTCTGCCCCGCAGAGTTTCCAGAATAACACATTTCCGGTAAATTCGGCACGGAGCCATGCCTGGGCAAACCCCCTTCCCCCATCCGTCCGGGCTGGGCGCGGGTGCGATGATGCTGGTGGCCCCAGCCACGCGCCCCAGCTTACGAGAAGTGACTGCAGCGTGCTCCCTCCCGCCCAGGCTTTCTCGCTCCCTCTCACGCACGACGCCCGGCTGCTTCCCGGGCCGCCTGGCCTGGGGGGGAGGGCGTGCTGAATAACCGCCGTCTTTAACCAGAAAACCACCTGCCACAGGAAACCTGTCATTGCCCTGGAAAGAAAAGACTCACTGCTTCCTGCTAGCAGCCGGGGAAACCAGCGGCACGGTGGGGAGGAGGGGGAGACGCTTGAGTCAGAAGAAAAGAGAAACCGAGGCCGCAGAAGAACTGAATTAATACGGTTATTAATGAGAATAACAACAAAGGGGTTAATAATGATGCTCAGCCTTGCCTCAACGATCCTGAAAGCATCGCAGCCTTTGCTACATCTACTGGTGTTGAAGCGCAGCCAGCTCCTGGCTGCAGCATCCCAGGCTCCGTCTGACCATGGAGCCAGCAGCCTGGCCAGGACCTCAGGAAGGAGGGAGGATGCAGTGGCAGGCTCTGCAAACTCAGCCAAGGCAGCTAAAGTGTGACCTGGCACTCTGAGGGCCTGGAAGGCTGCACCACCACCTCAGCAAAGCGAGCTGGTCGCCATTCAGCTGCCATGCTGATGCACGACGGTGCCTGCTCCCTGCGCACAGGCTGAGAGGCACCCAGCAGCTACAGTAGCTGTCACAGGAGGAGCTCGCACAGCAACCGAGCATCTCAGACCTCACTAAATACTTTGGAAACAATGACTGACATCAAACTCGGGAGCTGACGGGAATCACCCAGGGGCCGGGAGCCCCAGCCTCCCTGTGACTCATTCCTCTCAAAACACAAGCTACAAAGTCCTAGGGCTGATGGAGCTGCTGGCTCCTTTCATGTCACCCTGGCTCAAGCTGAGCCATGCTCTTCTGGGCAGAACCACATCAGAGAAGCCAAGTCCCTGATGCAGGGCCGGCCAAAGGCAAAGAGCACTCAGGGAATGAACCCAGAAGCAGCAGAGGGTCACTGTCAGCAAGGAATTGGAAAAACATTAGCAAAAATTCACCACCCATCCTCTTCTTGTCTCCCTGCATTTCTCCAACTGCCTGCCAGGATCCTCTCTGTCTAAACCAAAGTGGGCTTAGCCCCTCTGCTCCCCTCCCCACGGTATGGCAAGGAGTGAGTGCTATCAATGCTAGCTGAGCAGTAGTAACCTCATAAGCAAGTGGTTTGTCATCTGCCCTTAGAGCAGCCCTATTCTTGGTGCACAGCTAGGCTAAATTTTCCTTGGGGAGGATCAGAGCCCATATCCACCTCTAAGATTAGGCTGGAGAGAGCACCAACCCCAAGGAAAGGGTGTCTTTTCACCCTTCTCAGGCACAGTTGCCCAGAGCCATCGCTGCTGACAGGTATAATGCCTACAACCATGTCATCTCTAGAAGGATCATCAACTACTGAGAAAAGAGTGAAACATCTGTCCTAAACCCAGCTCCAACCATGGACTGAGGGTTCTATGTAAGGAGGAAGATTCAGGACTGGCTTCTCAAGAATTTTTCCCAAAAATGAGGATCTGAGGGAATATGAAGACCACTCACTAAGCCAAAGGAAGGTTTTTTGAACACAAGCCAGACTACCACTTTTCAAAGGGCAGCCAAGCCCAATGCAGGGATAAAGATGGTCTCTGCCCACTGCAGGCTGTGTGTTCTGTGTCCTGCCTCATCCTGCCAAAACACATGGGACAGCACTTACCAATGTGCAGAATGCAGAGGAGCGCAGACCCTGTGCTCCAGCACTGACCACACACTCCTGCCCAAACACACACAGCCAGAAACGACCATCCCTCCTGAAAAGCAGATGCCTATTTCTTCACACTGGGAAGCACTGTAGGGGTGCCTGTGGTGCCACAGGAGAGCGGGACAGCAGGAAAGGAGGGAAAATCCATGCGAAACAACAGGAAAGGCCTCCAGGTACTGTACAGTGTTCAGATGTAGAAAGGAATACAAGCACTACCATGGTGACATTTTAAAATAATAGAAAATTATGAATATTTATGTATCTACGCTGTGTAGTGTCTCAGGGCTGTGTGTAAGCGATGGCCTGAAGCACAAACCCAGGGAGAGCCAGCCCAGGTGAGCCTGCGCTTTCAAATTGCTTCTGACTGAGCTGGTCAGAAGAGGTTAAGAAAGGAAATCGGTAACGTCAGACTGAGACATAAAGATGGATTCAAAACTAGCTGCAACACTTGAACGCTTCGGTGGCAGTCGTCCTGGGCTGTGCGCTCTTTGCTGCGGGCGCTCTCTCCTACATCCTGCCCTGGCCTCACTTTTCCTGTCCTGCCTCAACAGAGCCCCTCCGCTCTGAATCCCAGGGGAAAAGCACGTTGTCCCCTGCGTAAGGCCCCTGCGCTGGGGAAGGGTGGGAGTGCTCACCAAGTGCAGCGTGTCTGCTTTCTGGGTCTGCCTCAGGCGGCTCTTCTGGGCAGCGATGCGATTCTTCTCTCTCCTCTGGACTTTCCTCATATCGTCGGAGGAGTCCTAGGGAAACAAAGCATGGAAATGACTGGGAGATCCCCTCCCTCACCCCTGCTCCTGCAGGGCAGTAGGTGAGAAGGGGACACAACAGATAACATCACTGAAGCACAGGACATGGGATACACACCCTCAGTAGCAGGATAAAGCCATATCCCAAGGATGTGTGATGCTTTTGGCAGTTGCCAGGAGGAACAAATCTGACACCCTTGGGCATCCCAACACAGCTGGGAAATGACCACCATCCTCCCTTCACCAAGACACATGCCTGGGATATGGCTTGAGGGACCAGAATAAGGACTTCTCTCCAGAACAGAGACAATTTAAATTCCTTGTGTAGAAAACCTTTCCCTTCCTAGTCTCTCTACGGGGATGCAGCACTGAAGACATTCCAGATCCTTGGCTAAACCAGAGGTTCAGCCTGTGTTTTCCTCTCTCTATCATCCTTTTCCCTCAGGTTTTATTTGTTGCAGACCCTTACAGTGCAGAGTGGTCTCTGCCTTGTTTAACTAGGCAGACTTGGAGCTTTTGGTTTTTCCCAGCTCTCTGTGCTTGCTCTTTTCTGGAGTCCCTTGGTAGCAATGCCTCCAGTACTGACTGCAACTTGGGCAGGGGAGAGCACACGCCTCCAGGCTCCAGGTCACGAGCTTCGTGCAGCAGCCGTTCTCTGCTGAGATCTGGTCCTGCTGCTGCCTTCTGACAGTTGAAACCGTCGCACAGACTCTTTCATCTTCTATTTTCATATTGCACTGCCTCTTTTGTGGACTCTAGCATTCACACTACCGCTTCTCCGCAGGACTACAAAACTCAGCCACAAAAGTTATCTTCCCAGCCCATCGGTCTGTCCACATCCTCTCCCCCCTCCACCCCGCCCAAGACCTTTTCTTTTCTTTGAACTTAACCGTTTCATCCTTGCCTTCGATACTCTACAAATGTCTTAGATATGGCAGCTCCCAAGTCCAGTCCCAACCCTTTGGCAACCCTGGTGCTTTATTCTCTTTTCTGCCAGGATGCTTCCCCATCCCTGGTCGCAAGCCCAAAATCACCTGCCCTGATCATCCTCAAGGTTTCTGAGCAAAGTCTCAGGTACTTGCCACTGTTGCCAGCCCTAGAGAAATGGCAAATGACAGGTATAATAAAGCTTAGCCAGAAAAGGCAGTGGAAATACCTTGGAGTTGTGTCAGTATCTGCCAGCAATTAAGGTACTCAGTCCAACAAACCAAAATCCCTCTGTCAAGCATTACTGAGACAAAAACCCTCTAAGCTGAACAGAAAAGAAAGCAGACTCAGAGTGGCAGGGCTTTTCTGGGTCCCAAGAACTGTCCATGA